TTATTACATGAAAATATGGATAGAATGTGACAGACTAAAATGAAAAATTATCTGTTGTTCAAAATTTCGAGGGCCACACAAGTAACTATTATTTATCAATAAATTGAAATGTAATCCTGTCATAAAAAGCGATTAATTACGAACAACAAACGAGTATTTTTTTATGATTTTACTTACTCTTGCAAACATCAATCTGTAATTACATCAGTAAAATTCGCATACTTAAAACTCCATTGTAAATATTATATATTTGAATGGCATGATAAAAATCATAGAATAACTGAAATAAAATTTAACAATAAAACAAGAAAATGTGAGAAAATCTGTGATATAAAAACATAAAGTTTATCAGTTCTTGTAAACATTTTAAGCATCATTGGAGATGTCGATTGATTAATTACCGTTGTTAACCAAAAACTATTTAGTTTCCGTATCTTTTTCCATTATCCACGTACCACCTTTTAATATTTACAATGTCAAAGCTGAATATTTTAAGGAATTCTGCAACTTCTTCGATAATACGCGATGAAAACGTGGAACTGAAGTAAAATTTAACATGTGTGTACCGAAGTGACGGTATAGAATGTGAAAATCAATTTATTCCGAGATAACATAACAACAAGTTGCGCAACAACGTATTAATACATTCGAGAGTATATCCTGATTTCAACCGTTGCGCGATATTATTGATCGAAGAATTGGAATATCTTACGTTATCAAGTATACTTCGACTCCTGTTATAATCGATCGCTACGCAGACCCGTCGGTAGTGATTCTCAATTGTGACAGTTCGCTGCGCTCCCAACTTCATCGTGTCTGCCATTTTAACCAAGTATATATCTAATACATTTCGATGGCGCACCGGTTGGCGTCGCTCCCCCGAAGAAAACGAATCTCGAAACGGAAACATTTGCATGTAGATCAGCCGCTCGAATAATCCCTTCGCCAGGAGCACGTGTAACCGATGCGCCATTACCGCGCGCCAGCCATGATCGTTCTTATAAAAATTCCCGATCCGCGATACGACACGAACGGCGTCCGAGGGATCATCCGTTCCCGTAGGATACCACTAACGTCTGAGGGATCCGCAGGATGATAACACAAAGAGAAAGAAAGAGAGGCTCGCCTCATTTAAAATAATTGGTAGAATACCAGATTTTTAATAGCGATATTAAGGGAACGTAAGTTCATTATTTATTGAAAAAAGAAAAAAAAATACTTTCTTATAACTTTACTTAACTATCTAAGCGACAAATATTAATTTCGAGTGCGAAATTAACACAAAAATCCTTAGTATCACAGTAGTTTTTCATAAAAAGCTTAAATCGGGCTTGGAAGGAATTAAAAGTGTTAGAAACGGGACATTTACTTCGTGGAACGCGTGTAAAAAGTATCACATCTTTAGCTGCGAATATCTCAGCTTCCGAAATGGTCGATCGTTTTCTAATCGTTTACGGACGGTGTGGTTAACGTTTCTTCCGTGGATGTACAGCTAAAGTTTAAAAAGATAACTCTAAGGAAACAGGTTCGACGGACCAAACCACCTCAAATATAATTTATTCCGTTTTTCCTTCGCAGATGCGGCGATCCAACGGCGTGAGTCACGCGAGGCTCACACGCGGCGTAGCCGATACGCGTTTCCGCAACAAGCACAGAGCCGCTATTTGGCAGGCCTTTCTATTGGCAATAAGTGAGCGCGTGCGAGGAGGAAGAGGAGAGTAAAGCTCCTGTCACAAGCTCCGCCTTGAAATCCAATTTCGAGCCTTGGGTTGCGCCTTCGACTCTATTTTCGCTTGTCGCTCTCTACTACCCGCGAACGTCTATAGTGTTCTCCTCTTCGGCCGCGGTATGCTGGGTGCTCTCCCTCATCCCGACAGAATTTTTCTCGGCATTCCCCGCGGTGATGCGCATATTCCCCCTCTCCCCTTCCCCCACTCGCCCACTGTATTCGGACGGTGTTTCGCAGACCGTTTCGACTTAATTAACGTCGAAGTTATCCGAGATACGAGGAGCTTCTTGTATTTTTCTTCCCTTCCTTCTTTTTATTTCGCGGAGCTTACCGAGCTTTGTTGAGTTTTTTCTTTCCCCCTTTTTTTTTTGCAAAACGGACTCTCCTCCTCCCGTTATCCTCGGGAAGTTCATTCTCTCACAAGCGAAAATGTCTAATTATAATGTCCGGCGACGCGTTAAACCCCCCCCCAATAACAATTACCCTGTGCCATTTTGAAACAAACAAACAAGCCGGCCTTTTATTACCAGGAGCCCGCGGATGGTCGATTAAGTGCACTTTACGATTTCGAGTGCGTACTCCAAAGGTAGCGGGAAGAAGCAGCTGTGCGCGATATTTGAACGGGAAATACGGTCGCGATCGTCAATAAATATCCGACATTTTCCAATATGACCTGCGCGCGGCCGGCGGCGAGGAAACGATCGGGAAGGATAACGGCGAATCGAGGTAATTCCGAGTCGCTCGTACGAACGCGACCGGACAAAATTATGTTATCGTCGACCGTTGTCGTTGCATTATTTTTGCTACTCTATGATTGGACCTCATCACGCAATAAGAAACCGATATTTCCCATCGCGGGCGTCGCAACGACGCGATGTCACGCGATGCCAACGTTGAAAAGTACGTTGACACAAAGTAGCTCTTCAATTTCATTGATGAAAAGGAGCGTTGAATTCATCGGGGGGGATGCACCCTCCGCACAATCTCGTTTTCGTCGAAAAACTGTACGCGTAGTGTTTCGTAATTTTCTTTTCTGTCGCAGTTTACAAACACAACCCGGTCTCTCTCTTTCTCTCCGAAAATTACACGGGATTTTTGAAGCTCGCGTGTAATTCGACGCGTGTTTTCATTAACGAGCGATTGTGTGACGCCGCGCTTCGTTAACATTCGACTGCTCATTTTTCGCGTGTTTTCCCGGGACAATAGCGCGCCATCCCGGCGGAGGGACGCGCTTTTGTGAGACGCGGGCCACTCCCTCCCCCCTACCCCTCGCATAAAGGCCGCCGCCAAGGGCTTAATGCGCCGGGATATTCTCTTCGACACCTCCGTCGCAGAACTGACGCTACAACAGCCGCTCCGGCAAGAGCAAATAGCAACCTTTCGAGGTCTTGTAATTTTCCACAGACGTCAGACGCCAAAGAGAGCACGGATAACAAAGGGGATTAAAGACAAGCGCCTTTTTTCTTCAATCCTTTGTACGTTTCACACGGATCGATCGAAAAGACGATGCACGACGACTGGTGAGAAACGATGCAACTATGTATGAAAATGACAGTTCCGTGGAAGGTTGCGCAAAATTATGCCGCGGGGCATCCCTCGCGACAGATAAAGTGTTCGGTCGTTGAAAGACGATTGTGCGACAACGGTGTGAAGGGAGCCTTAATTCTTCCGGAGTGAAAGTCGCGACAGAGGCGTGAAAGAGGTGCCCCGCCGCCGCGCTGTTTGCCGTGTCACGCTAATGCTCGCGGCAGGTAGAATCAGATAAAAAGCAGTTAATCCATCTTATGTCACGCTCGTTGCTTACAAGCGTTAAATTACGAGATTTACGACCGCCTCCGGCGTATTGATTACGATAAGTTACTCGAATCGGCAGCTTAAGCTTTTTACCGACCGAGATTCGATCTAAACCTGCAATAAGCACGACACGAGAGAAATGAGCGGGAGAGGGTGTTACGTCGTCGTTATGAATTCTCGAGTCGACATTTTGATACCACGGTAATCCCGCAAATTCCGTCGCACCGTGAAGAATCAATGGGTAATTATCAGATGCAGAATTAAACGAGGCTATTGTTCCACCTTGATGCTACGAACGTTTATTCATCGGTGTTCCTTTCATATCGAGATTTGTAGAAACATTTACGTACTAAAATATCATTTAATATCCAACGTCGCTGAAATATTTAATAAATATTGAATGTACGTAGACTACCGAGATAATCGAATATTACATGAGACTCGGGGATAAGTTCTTTTTTAAGGAATTAACAAAACGGCACCGAGTAATTCCAGTATCAAAGGACAATGGGTAGCCCTTCTGCGGTATATTGTACCTTGGGATTCTCCATTGTTACGTCCTCTAAATTCGACGGGAGCTGCACGGTTAATGAAGAAGCAAGATTTCGGTTCGGATTACGAGAGACGTCACATACCTCTCAATAATGCGAACATAGAGTCACGAGCGAATTATTGGCTCGATACCATAAATTATCGCGCATCGTTAAATTAATTATCGATCGCGGCGCAAATCACATGCGAGATTTCCTGCGGACAGGATTAAATTTCTCGTCGGATATTTGCGCGCAGATTACAAATCCGCTAATAGCCGTGGAGAGAATTCAATTTCACGTAGGCCGAGCCACGTTCTCAACCACGTCGAGAATCTCGTCTCGTCGGAAAGGAAATATTACAGCTTCGTGACAACCGCGTAATAAAAAAAAAAACATAGCATCTGCACGTATCTCTCTCTCTCTCTAATGGCGTTGCACATAATTTTAAGTCGCAAGTGGGCGCAGATAAAGCGCGCTCGAAATATATTTGTCGACAGGTCGAAACGGAACGTCCCTAATTAGCTGCGACAAAATATTGAATAGACACACAGAGAGAGAAAGAGAAAAAGAGAGAGAGAGAGTTTCAGTTCTCTCTCCGGCGGCCACCACGAGCGCTCGGTATTGCTAATTGGAATTTGTAACGAGTCGCGTACAATGAATAGAGCGAAAACGGGTTTTTCCCGAACACGCCCACGCAAGTTACCGCGAGAGAGCGGCGACATTATGTAAAACACCGTTGGACGGTTTTTAAGAACACGCTCCTCCGTCTGTTCTCTCTCTCTCTCTCTCTCTCTCTCTCCCTCTCGTCTCGCGCTTTTTCATTCGAGCGCCTCGACGAGAGCGATTCGCCTCTCACCGTTACGCGCCACGGCGTTTGCATATCTGAATTCGAAGAGAGGGAGAGAAGAGTTGCGACAGGTAATTGCTGAAATGTATCTACTCACCTTCGCGTAGTCGATTTTCAGTGTACAGCAGCCGGAGTAAATGTCCGCCCCGTGTAGCGCTTCTTTCACTCTTGTGGCTGACTCCACCGAATCAAACGTGATCATCGAATCGCTCAGTTAAGGATACGCACGTTTCGTTCGCAGGTGGAAGTGACTAACCGACGATCATTGCGTCTCGGCCGCTCGCGACGGGCGATTCGCGAAAATCCGCTCGAATCCGGACGATTTCACGCTTCGGCTTCGAATCCGGATACGCGACAACCCGATCCGAGGAGAACGTTGCACTTAACAAGCGTTATAATTCATAATCCTCGAGAAGCTCGAGGAACGTCGAACGCTCACGCATCGTGCGTCATAATTAATTCGGCAGATAATTGACACCGTAATGCATATTACTATCGCGAAATTCGCGGAAATTATTCATTCATTCGCTCAGCAAACGGCACCGGCCGTTTTCGACCCATCCGATACCGTTTCGTTGTTACGCATTCCCCGCGTGTCCCAAAGCGAAATAACTCACCGTGCGGAAATAAAACCGCATGCGAAACTTCGCACAGGCGGATTATAACGTGCGCGCGCACACGCGCTGCTATATGAGGCGATCGGCGAAACACACGGTAGAACGTGATGCACTGACAACACGGGAATTTCGAGCCGCGAGTTCGCAGCGGCCCGGCAAACGGTCTACTCTCCCACAAAGTGGCCGTTGCACAATGTAAATGGCGATAAAACACGGCGTGACGCGATACCTAACGAATTTATAGGCACGCGGGACGCACGGCTTGGACTATTATCCGGATCGTAATAGTCCAGAATATATTCCGTCGCGCGGAGGTTTACGACGCGTTCCTCTCTCTCCCTCTCTCTCTCTCCCTCTCTTCTTCTCACACACATACATACATAAAACATTATCTTGGCGTCGCGCACGGAGCGTTGAACGGAGGTTCGTGCAAGCGGGATAGCGAAGAAAAGAGTTTACGGTGAAAAAGTCGAGCCTCCGTCCCGAGCCCTGAATCCTCCTCTCCCCCTCCCCGTTATAAATCTCAATTACACCGGTAACCGGCGCGGTGCATGTCTTGACGAAGTTTCCAGCGTTCGGGAAAAGTGTGTCGGGCGGCGAGTTAATCCCGCGGGCTTCGAGTTCACCGGCACGGCATTGCGCATGCGCGCGCTGCTCTGAGCGCGTGTTACGTATGTAGAAGGTGACCCTTGACTCGCATGCTCGTCCCATGTGTTCTTCCGTTGTCCCCCTCCCCCCTGCCCTCCTGGGGGGGGGGCCGCTGTATAAATCAAATTCGCGTGAAACACGACAATCCGGGCGAACCGACCGTTTCGCGCCGTCTCGTTGTTTGAGCGCGCCGAAACTTCGAACTTCTTGAGGACTTCTTGAGGACGATGCGCGCGTCCGCCGCCCTCGTCGCGCGTTCTAAGCGGGTATTGTTCGACGAGATTCATCTTCATCGACGACGGATCCCGCACGAGAATGAGAACACACGGAGTTCGCGTTTCCCCATTTTTGCTTCCTTTCCTCTCGGATCGAGGTTAACTGCGAGACACTCGTCGAGTCACGGAGATACCCGGCGGGGGAGGGGGATTAATCGGGGCGTGCCTCGAGACCTGTAGCAGCTTTGGGTGAGCATATCCTAAAATAGAGACGCCTTCGGGCTCGGATACTTGCCGAGAAAGGCAAATTGAATCGAATTTCATGAATAGGCCTCTGAATAGACGCTAATATGGATGTCCTTAACAAGGCTTGCGGTCATAGGACCCGGGACTCAGTCAGCCAATTACCGAAATAGGTGAGGTCTTGAAAGAGACTCGAATGAAATTTACCATAAGGTCGAAATGAGACTAACATTTGACTTTGATTCTTCCAAATCGTACTCAAGTGGAAAATTTTACGCAAACCGGTTAGAAATCCGCATTGGAATTTTCTTACAAATTGGTAGCACAACAGAGGATACGGTGTGATCGAAGGTACCAAAATAGAGTCCGGTTAGAATAACAAATATCTCGCCTCCAATTTGAAGGAGTGTCGCGTTTCTGTGTGTAGGACTTAAATAAGGAAAATTGTGCCGGGCCTTTCCTATCTTAAATTTCTACTCGGCTATATTTGCCAGTGAAGATCGAGGAACTTCATTCTCTCCGCGCGGCGAGAGAGCCGCAAATCGCGAGCAGTCGCGACGCGCAGACTCGTTCCTCCTCGAGAAACCGCAAAATACGTGCACGTGCGTTGCTGCAACGGCTACTCTGCGGGGAGAAGAGACGATTTCACGCCTTCTTATTTTCCTCCCGTGCGTTCACGGGCTTAGTAAATTCCGACTCCGCGACTCCGGCCTCGGGCATCAGCGGTCGCGTTAACACGTATATCGCGAGTAACAAGTTTTCCACGGGTCCTGTTAATCTTTTATATACGAACACGCAATATCCGCAGTCGTAAAATAGTATTACGCCGCGCAAAGGGCATACACACACACACACTATCCCGCGGCTAGTACATCGTCTTTCTCCGTGATTTACCGCGAGAGGCTGGTAGCAGCTCGCTCGCGAACGCCGTGGAATTTAAAGTGTTAATTTACGCGATTGAGATTTACACGTGGTGATTCCCGAGATCGGTGTTGGGCCAACAGATTTGTCTGCGACCGAGCGTCGCGCGCCCGCCGCGATAAAACCTCAGTACCGAGCCTTCGTAACGAAAAAGGATATTCTATCATGGCCTGCACGCCGTTTTTCTTGAAGATCACGATGCGCTGCACCTGTCCGGTGTTCGCCGTAATCGCGTGCAACACTTCCTGCAACAGAAAAAGGGAGAAATACATTTACCAAACGGACCGTTCGGACGCCACGAATGATTCAGGGTGTTACTGTTTCCGTGTTTTCTCGATTTAGCGAACGGCGCATCGCCTCTCGTAGGTAGACTCTACGAGAAATACTTGAAAAGTACCTGAGACTTTCCTAGATTCGGAGGAAATTTTGGCGCGCCTCGAGTCCCGAGCGTTTCCGCAGGAAATAGTAACGAGAGGTGTGCTGCCGGCCTCTTTCTATCGGTTTAAGGGGAGCGTATTTGCGAAAGAAATATCTTCGGTAACCGGTCAACCTCTCCTCCCGGGGTGAAATTTTAGTCCTACATTAAGTTAATTCCGCATTAAGCCCTCAATCGTGCTCCTTCGCTGCTAAAAATAGAAAATCATTGCCGTTTTCTCCCGTTTCTTCGGAGACCGGCCGGTATTCATAGACAGATCTTGTACTTAAAATCGTCTCGAGTTCATCCTCAGATGCTCCGTAGCCATTGAGCCGTACGAAAGTCAACTTGAGACGATTTGAAATATAAGATCTGACGATGAACACCGCTCTCTTAACGTAGAACTGAAATTTCAACGTCGGGACTGCCGACGAAATTCTGCAATTCAAATTTCTACACTCGCATTACTGATCCGGCTGGATCGACTCCCCAACTCGCTAACTCGATTGCAGTTTCGTGAAAAATAATATCAACAGCTCGACTCTTCTAGCTCGATTTTTTCGGTGTTCGCAAGCTCCTATCGCAGATCATATCTCGCCGAGTAAAGGTGAACCGACGTGCACTTTTGTGTAACTAAAACAACCCCTCCTTCCCACAACTGCTCGTACATCATCCCCTCCCCCCCATTCAGGAATCATTTCGGAATATTTCCCATCATTCAAAACAATCATCATTCTTCTCAGTCCGTCACTGAGAGCTGTCGTCGGTGGGGGGGAGCGGCGATAGTTCCGAAGCACCTCCAGTATTTCCGTTAAACCCATTTCTAGTACATGATCGATCATGCGTCGTATATCATAGGCGCTGCAAATCGAACGAAGTTTACACGGGGCGCGTTTTCCCCGCGGGAATCGCATGCATGACTCGCCGAAGCATAAGTTCGATCGCCTTCGCTCGCGATAGATACAAACAACAAGTTCCACGTAGTGGCGGAAATCAAGAGGTCAAGGGGCAACGAGACGAAGTGTTCGCCGCGTTCGTATGCCAGCGTTGCTTCGACCGCGCGCTGCGCATCGACGATAACCGCCTTCTTCTTCTTGCCCCCTCTTCCCCCTCGCCGCTCTCTCGGCGAGGAAAGAGTCGACGGTCGCGCGATCTGTTTCGCGTTCGGCGTGTTTTCATCTCGCGAAACGCGAACCGAAATTGCGAATGTGATTATCGCGGCTATCGTTAATTTCTATTTACGGAATTAGTAATGTCAGCATTGCGAAACGCGCAAAAAGGAATGTGTTATACCGCTGCCGGCCGTATTGCAAATAATCCGGATAATTTTATCGATTCTCCGGCGCGCGTGAAGCGTTGGCGAAGTTAAAATTTATGTAAAACGGGAACGTTCATGAATGTTGCATGATTTACAAGCTGCGAAATACAATTAAACATTGGGTGTATCTGCGAAAAGCCGTGCGCGAATCGTCACCGGCGAGAAACCGCGCTGGCTGCGCGTCGCCGACGCGCGGAATATTGCGGAAAACGGGGTGCGCGCGACGTGTCCACCTTGCACTAATTTACATTGCAATTAGCAGTTCCCGGCTTAATCCTTCATCGGCACGGTGCAGGTACGAGGACCCTATTTCGAGATTAATCGCCCGGCTTGCGCGGTTCGATGAGCGGCATTAACAAACACAGAGTGTTAATTGCTACTTGCTGGATAGATGGACAATTAATGTTCTTAACTTAATCTTCCTGCTGTCCGAACAAATTCTTCGCTGTCTAAACCAATTCTTCTTTGCTATCACTATATCGACAAACATTCGCTGTTCCAGCAACATTTGTTTTCTCCGCATGCAATCGACAACGTGAAAAGGCGAGTGCGAACCGATGTATCGTTATTGTTGCATTATTTAATGTTCAATAATTCTGAAATTCGTATATAATATCTATATGTTAGTCTTTAATATCACAGCAGTTCTTCGTTAAAATTTTATTTTTAGCTTAAGAAGACATTAAAAATAGAAATTAAAAATAACACGTTAATCTCTCTCTCTCTCTCTCTCTCAAGAAACACGTATAAAAAGTGTCGAATTTAATTACAAATACCTCAGTTCTCGAATGGTCCGTCTCTTTCTAATCGCAGTAAAGTAAGTTAGATAATATTTCAATGTATACGCCCATACAGAACAGATCTCCAGGGAACGTCCTAAAGGCGTCCTTATGTCCCGAGGACATCTGCAGGACGTCCCTCGGATAAAGTGTGCTGTGTAAGTTTCATCGAAATCTTATCAAACTCGTTTCACTTTACACCGTAATCTCCGATAAAGCAAAATAACTTTCGATCCAGGCTCGGAATTACCATCTTCGTCGTCACCTTTAAACGTAAAGTAGATCAACTTGTAATTTCCTCATAATTTTTTCCCACTATTTTGACTAACGGGCGACGCAGTATTTAATCTAATCGCGTGCGGCGGACACGGACAGATGGGACCGAGGCAGATTTTATTTCAGGATGGCCGGTAATTGAAAGATGTTTAGCGGTAAACACGTGCGTGTTTACCTGTCGGGACGCTAGCGTGGAAATCTCGAATTTACGCGGCACGAGCGATGACACGACGTGGCGCACTGCCAAAGTAGCTTCTTCGTGAATTCTCGGGGGGGGGGGGGGGGGNGATCATCATCTCTCGCGCGCGACTAGACGAAAACATGCAACTAGTCGCAAGTCGCAATCTAGAGTGAGTCACGCCGTTTTATCCGAGAAGAAAAATACAGATCGCTTCTCGTCTCGTCGCTTGACGCAGTTTAAACGCGAGACGCGCCGGCGTATTATCTCGCGTTTGCGATTAGTCATACAAAAGCGCGGACGAGATCGAGACGAGCGACGTCTGAATAAGGCGTCGTACGAGATTATCGTCAATGTCGCCGAGCGAACACGCAATTTCCCGTCACGAGATATTCCCGCAAGATGCTGCTCGGATTGATTGATAAACGTTATATTTAACATCTCATCATAAAACCGGAAAAAAATCGCTGTTGAATTAACTAACAGAATTTCCAACGGCGCGCGTAATCGCAGTTAATCTTCCCGATTCAATATGGAATATTATTATTGAAGTTGATACATTATATATATATATATATATCGTTTCAACAGCTCAAATATTAATTGATTCAACTAACTGCATTCAGCAGCATTCTCCCGCGTGCAATAATCCCTAAAAGTCAAGGCGTTCTCGACGTTTCAACCAGTCATAAAGCCGCGCGCTCAATCAGGTCTCCATTGAACAGTACCCAATTCTTAGATCGTTTCGGACTAATTGATTAATAACAAGTTAACCGGCGAAAAGAGGACGAAATATTGCAAAGATTACAAATGCAAGTAGACAAGGTGTCACTGTGCCGAGTTACGCTGAACTACACACTAAGATACGCCGCGTAGGAACGCGTACTTTTCGCGAAGGCGCGCTTTGATAACGCGATTCGCGGCCTCGAGGGCGACAAACCGGCTCGACAGAGCTCCCTCGGGCTCCCCTCGCCGGGACCCTGAAACTCGAGCTCGTTAATTTGGCGGTACACGAAACGTATCATGTACGCGACCAATATGCACACGATAGTATTCTCCTCTCTCGAGTGGACAATGGGCTTGGGCTTCGCGGTTCCCCTCGCGGACATAAACCATCGTGCAACGACCGCACGCTCTCATGCCACACCAAAACAAGACCAGGGACTCGACTCGCTTCTTAGCATCCGACAAACGACTTCTGAGTGAGGGGATGAATCTGCAAGAGCGATCGAGCTGAAGGAAGAAAAAAAGGGAACGGTGCTGCGGCCGCGATAATTAAATTGTTTCGTGACTTATAAAAACGAGAGGCGCGCTTGATTATGCAAAACTGTCACCGAGCGTATCCGAGAGAGAGAAAGGGAGAGAGAGAGAAAGACGGACAGAGAGAGTGAGAGGGAGGTCGGTAAATTTTTATGCGCCGGTCACCGCGCGCACCCCGTGCGCCATGTAATATGTATGATCCGTTGCATTTCAGATTGGCTTATGAATAGAGGGAGAGAGCGAGAGCATTTCGAGCGAACCCCTCTCCCCCTCTCCGCGTTCCGCTTCGCTCTCGTGTTTTCGGAGACCGCGAGGGAGCGAGACGAGTGAGCGCGCGCGACCACCAACGTGACAGAGAGCTCGAACCTAATTGTTCGGAGTGTCCGCATCCGGGTCGAGGAACCGCTGCTTTTGTGCCGCAGCACCGCCGAGATACGTGGAAGGGGGAGGGGGGGGGGGGGATCCTTCGGGGACGACGGCAGCCGCCGTTATAAATTCACAGGAGCGGGCGGACGCCACCGCGGGCGCAACACACAAAGCCGCTCGCGCGAAAGCGCGATGGAACGAGCTTGCCCGCTCGCTCGCTCGTCGGGATCGCGATAAGAAAGCACGTAATCCTTTGTCCTGCGAAGATGCATTCGCCCGGGCGAGGCGCATCAAAGAGCCGTACCGGTGCAACGTGATTTACTAAACCAGCTTATCTGCTACGATTCCGCGACGGAAAAACGCTTGGTAGGGGGGAGAGAGGGGCGGTGTATCGCCGTTCGGAATCGATGGCTGGAATGTTGGGGAATCACCGAAGCTTTTAAGCTATGAGAGAAAGCGATTCGCGCAAAACGGCCGACGAGTGCAAGTGGGGGGTTCGAAATCTTCGGAACAAAAGAGAGAGAGAGAGAGAGATCGCGGAAATAATCATCGTCGAGCGACCACGCTGGTACCGGTTATCTTCTCTCCAAACATCGCTTTTCGCTCGATGGAAACTCGATGAGATGTGCTTGTTTGCACTGTGATAAGCGGAA